TGCATAAGTGAGTGTCCACAAACCCTCACAACCACTTCTACTTGCATCTGAATTCTGCTGTCTCCCCCATGTCTGTAGGTTAACTGTCCTTTCCCAAGGCCAACCCTTCTTTGAATCTTAAATACCATTCTCCTTTTTGCCTTCTCAAGGATATTGCCCCAATGTTTCTTTCTACTGCATTAACAATTTTCCTTTTCTACTGAATCACTTCCATGAGTCTATGAATACAATAGCTCTCATCTGTTTTTTTTCCCCAAATTTTATTCATTTATGCATTTAAGAACTGGGGTGTAGGACAGAGGTGCAGGGGGTGAGAGGATTCACTAGAGACAGAGTGGGGAGCAGGACAGATGTACTGTGAAGTACACTGCTGAGGGGAGCAGCAGGTGAGACTGGAGATGTCTGTTGAGCCATGTGGGTCAGCTCCCTAGCTAGGGATCAAACTCAAGCTGTAGCAGTGATAATGTGATAACACTGAGACTGAACCCCTATGCCACCAGGGAGGCCCAATTGCTCGCACCTTTAAAAGTTTGTCACCATTGATCTTCCTTCAGTATGTCTACATTTCTCCTCTCCCTATTGATACCTCAACTCCAGGAGTTGTTTTTACTTATTGTCATCACTTCTCTTAATCTCTTTTCTATTCAATTTTTCTAAATCTATTAGTCAATTCTAAGTCCCTTAATGTACTTATCCATTAGCAGCATTCAACAAAGCTGAATTCTCTCTCCCTAAACACTGTGTCCAATGGTTTCACGGACCCCACACTCTCCTGGTTTGTTTACTTACCAGCCTCTTTCTTGGTCTCTTCTGCCCACTCATCCTTCTTTTGTCAGCCTCAAAGAATCAGGACACTCTCCAGTGCAAGTTCTCAACATTTTGTTTCCTTCTGATCCTCATGTCCAAGTGTTATGGTTCAAGATTCATCCACCATCTACCCCAGTGGCTCCCAACTGGGGTGATTTCGTTCCCCTGGAAACATGTGGCAATGCCTGGGGACATATTGGGTCCTCACCACTGGGAACAGGTGCAACTGGGATCTAGTTGGTTGAGGTCCCAGGGGTGTTGCTGAATGCCCTAAAGTGCATAGGACCACAAAGCCTGCCATCACCAGAAGGAATGTAACCCAGATGTTAGCAGAACTGGTCAAGAAACCCCAACTGAGCCAGTTCTCTTCTAGAACTCTAGACTTTCTATTTTCATCCTCAACACATTCATTTGGATGTTTAACAGATAGTTCACACCTAGTATCTCAAACTGAAGTCTGGGTTCCCTGTCCCTCCGCTCACGTTTCCTAAAAAACAGAACCCAAAACAGGGTTTTTGTGCTAATCATCTTTTTAAATTGTATTATTTTGTTATTGACCTAACCTTGGTTTACAACACTATACAAGATTTAGAGGTATAGACTCATACCTCAAATGCATGTCCCCACAGCATACCCAACCCTCCAACCCAAGGTACTTGGCTCCTCTCCTCTCTGTCCCTCATCCCCACTATCTGATGGTCTTAACTCTACAGTCATATTTCTAAGGTTTGTTTTGGTTTAGTTTGACTGTTCCTTTGTTATGTTTCTTTATATCACACATGAGTGAGATCATCCTGTATTTTTCTCCCCTTTCTGACTTATTTCACTAAATATAACCTGCCCCCCCAATTCCATCCATGTTATTGCAATTAGGAAGATTTCACTTCTTTTTTTTTTTTTTAATAGCTAAGAAGTATTCCATTGGGTATATGTATCCCATCTTCTCAATTCACCTCTCTGTCCCTGGGCACAAGATTGCTTCCATAACCTGAAATAGAAGGTGCATCCCAGAACAGTGAGAGTAAGGGAGAAGGGAAGAGAGATGAGGAAGGACAGGTGCAAATACAATGTGGTGACTTACCAAATTGGCCACAGCTTCGTGAGACAAAAGAGAGAGAAACCTGTGTCTAGAGCATATGGTTGCTTGTCCCTGAAATGAATAAAAGGAGAGGGAATTCACTTAAAGCCTTTGTCCTATCTTACTAGACAGCTCTCACTAGTCCACTGAGTGAACACCCCCATATACAACATTGCTCTCTTGCACCTTTTTGGAGGGCTGCCTGGGAATCCAGAGTCCACTCACTGCCGTGTGGTCAACCTCAGCAGGTAGGGCTCTTCTTTCTAGCACAGCTTCCTGTTCCATGAGGCAAGAAGAAAGATGAGGCAGAGAGAATCCAGAGAATGGTCTCCGCTGTCCAGTACGGTGTGATTAAAAGCAACACATTCTGGTAAACACTCTTCCAGTAAAGAACATCACCACCCACCTCGCTAAAGAGACAAATCTTGAGACATTTCTTTTCCTTACATCCCAAATCCTGCCATCTTGATTTTCAAAATGTAACCCTATCTGACAAGCCTACCACTGTCTCTCTCTGCAAACCGTCACTCCCAGGGCACTTCACCTCCAGCCTGTCCTTCTTTCCAGTGGTCAGAACCATCTTTAGCATGGAAATCATATTGTATTACCACGTGTGCACCAGTCCTCCCTCGCCTATCTTCCCATGACACTCAAAATAAAATGAACATGTTAAAAAAAAAAAAAAAACAGTGGTCTCAGGGACCCTCCCTGGTGACCTGGAGCGTCCTGCAGTTCTGCTCTCCCTCCATACTTTCTCTGCTGGCTCTCTGCTCACACCGTTCCTCTTTTGTTTCCCAAATATGCTCAGCTGTGTGCCTTTGGATCTTATCATTTGCACTTACAAGTTCCCTTCAGACTTTCCTATCTCTTGCCCTCTCTCTTCTTGAAGTTTTCTGTCCAAACATCACCTCTGGAGAGAGGGCCTGGCTATCCATGTGCGTCTTGGCCTACATTAACAATGCACCTCCCACCTGAATATGTGCACCCTGAGTTCTGGGACTCACACATTTTCGTTATTAGCCTTTCTCCAGCGCTAGAAGGATGTGTGGCATAGAGCCTGCGCTGAGCCAACAGTTGGTGAATGCATAAACATCCTCAGAACCTTAGCGACCATGGGCTTGCATCAAGAATGAGGCGAGCCTAGCTCAACACCTTTCTTCACTTCTGCTCTAACATATCTGCCGGGGAAGGGTGACAACTTCCTGATGCCATTATCCCACCGTAAAAACCTGAGTTGAGGAACTTGAGATCCCTTCAGCCTGCGATTCTCTTGTAGGTAGGCAGTTCCCAAATGCTGAACTAAGGCAAGTACATTTACTTCAGGCTAGGAAGGTGACAGTGTTAGAGGTGTTAAAGAAAGGAGGTAGCTGCAGGCAGCTGCAGGAACAGGGCAGGGTACAGGAACAAGTGCCGGTACTGTGCGGGCACAGTAAATGCTTATCAGGGCTGGTACGGTTCTTCTTCTTTTTTTTTTTTTTTAAAGATTTTATTTATTTATGCATACAGAACTAGGGTGCAGGCCAGAGGTGCAGGGGCGGTGACAGGCTTCCCCAGAGACAGAGGGGGGAGTAGAACAGGCAGAAGGACAAAGTGCACAGCTGAGGGGAGCAGTGGTGGGACTGGAGAGGTCTGCTGCGCCATGTGGGTCACCCCTGGGGCAGGGATCGAACTCACGAAGAAGCTGGGGCTGCCTTGCAGTGCTGTGCTTTAACCCGTTGCGCCACCAAGGCGGGCCGAGTAGGGTTATTTCTAATAGGACCGTTACAGGAGCATGACAACAACAAAATAACAACAAGGTATTTCAGTAAAGAGCTTTATATGTTTATATATATATATATTGGGCAATCAACCTGTAGTGAAGAAGCTAGGGACTGTGCAGTTCGAGAGATACAGGAATATGCCGGAGGAGAGCGAAGGAAAGGGCAGCAATTCTTAAGGGAAGCCGCTTAAGAGACCTCATTGTTCATAAAAGAAAAGCTGAGGTGGGGATCTGGAGGAGGGGAGGGAACAAATACTTTTATTTTTCTGAAAGGAATGCTGGAGCCTGAATGTGGAGGAGGGACTTAACCAGCTCGTCTCCAGGACTGCAGCACTGCCCGGGCAGTCCCGCAGAGGCCCCTACTTTCCACTAGCCACAATAGAGCCGGGAGGATACAATCGTCGCTTTGATGAAAGAGGTGGGCGGTGTGGGCCGAGGCGCAGCGCGCCGCGGCGGAGCTGAGGGGTGGGCCCCTCGCAGCGGAGGGACCAATCAGCGGCGACTCCGGGAGCTCGCCCGCCGCCTCAGGGACTCCGCGGCAGCTGAGTAGCACAGCTGCCGGCGCCCAGGCTGGAGACGCACTCCCAGGGCTCGGCGCAAGGCCCGCCTGGGGCTGCCGAGTGCAGGGCGCGGACCCTTTCCCGAAGTTGCGAGGCTTGCAAGTGGCCGGGTGGAGTAGAGGCATTAAGCCAGGGAAAGAGGCTCTGGGAGGAGGCACCTCAGTGGGTGGGGGGCGGGCGACTTGCTTCTCAGATTTGCCCCAATGAAGCGCCACGTTGGCAGACAGCCCATAAACCCACGAAGCCTTTGGTTCCTCCTGTCACATTCTCCGTATTTCAAATGAATCAGATTGTAAGGAACTTCAACTCCCCTGGTAGGTCAAAGAGGGACAGACTCCTAGCACCACTGCCCCGCATTAACACCACCCAGGACAACCCAGGTGATCCTCAACTGCAGCGCGACACCCGAAGTCCGCATCCCTCCCCAGTCCCGAGGGAGGCTCTGGGTGGGCGCTGCAGAGAGCCCCCTGCGGGAGGGGCGGGTGGAGCCTAGAGCGAGGCGACCGAAGCAGATTACTGTGGGACTGCACAAACGCAAACCCATCGAGGAGTTTTGCCAGGAACACCAGCGCCTGCATTGCGTCGGACCTGACCATTTCCAATGTGAAATTCCCGGGGAAGGTCGCGGCCAGCGACTGTGCGTGTGCGGGGCTGGGGACCATAAGGGGAATAGAATTAGTGGTCGGGTTTTCTGGCAGAAGGAAAAAGCTGTGCTGGCAAGGGTGGGAACTGAATGACAACCCCCCTCTGCCAAACCACCCCCTCATATTTTCCATCTACCTCCTCGCTCCTGCCCTCCCCCGCCCTCCCCAACCCACGCCTGGGTGGGCCAATCGCTGCTGCGCATTCCAGGCGCTTTCTCAGGTTTCTGCTGATCTTGCAGCGCCCAGAAATGGACCGAGCGGACCTGCGGCCGCAAGCACCCTGCTCCACTCGCAGCCCCTAACCGCTCCGGCGCGCCGCGAAGCCCCGGCGAGGTCCAGGCGGGAGTGCGGGAAGCGGGGGAGACCCGAGCGCCATGTAGATCCAGGCTTTCGCTCGCCCGCCTCCTTCGGGATCGAATCAAGGGTTCTCATAGTGTTAGGAGGGGGCGAGAGTGCTGTTTATCGTCATTTGCTTCAGAGCTTCGGGAGAGGGTGGCATTTTGCTTTTCCGCCCGCATCCTCCGGAACTCCCTGCACCAGAGAGAGAGGACGGCACCTCCAGGTTGCAGACGGCGGGTGCGAATGGGGGTAGGGAGTGGACATTTCCGCGGTGGCGGCTCGGTCGAACGATTGTCCAGCTGAAGGGGCGTAGGACGAGTGGGCCAGGGCTGAGACTTTGCCCTGGCGCCTCTCGGATGCTGCTGCGGCCGCGGCTCGCGCCGGGTACTGCAAAGGCGGCTGCCGCACTCGGACTCCGAATCTCCGCGGACTCAGCACCGCCCTGCGCCAAGCCGGCCGGCCAGGTAGGGGCCTCCCCAGTTCGGGGCTGCAGAAGTGGGGGTTGGGGCGGGGGGGGGGGGGACACCGGGGTGTGGGGATGCTGCCTGGGATCTGGGACTCCCCAGCGTCTCTAGGCTCCTTTCCCGATCTCTAGTTTAACGAAGTTGTAAACAGATCGGCTGTTGGGCATTGGGGAAAGTGGGATGGAAGAGCCCCAAACTTGGATTTCCGGGTGTCTGCGTGTGTCTGTCTGTCTGTGTGTGTGTAATAACGCTAGCAAAAGTCCAGTGCTTAAAAAAAAAAAAAAGCTGGAGGTCTGTGCTCTTCGGTGTCTGTGGGTCCGTCCCATCTGAATGCTTCTGATTTTCTACTCCCGTATCACTTTCTATTTCTCTGCAGCGACCATCGATCGCCCTGGTGGGAGCTTAGAAGGCAGCAGGCGAAGAGGGGTAGGAGGGGGGAGAGCCGAGGAGAAGCACAGGGGGTGGCAGGCGAGGGGATCTGCTGGCTCCGCACCACCGGTCCTAGGCGGGCTCACGGAGGGGAGGGGAGGCCAGGGTAACTCCGAAGCCATGGCCTTGTCCGCTAGGACGGCACTGCGTTGAGGCACCTCGGAGCAGGAAGAAGTTCCAACTCCCTACCCCTAGCCCCAACCCTAGGCAAAAAGCTCTGTCCCGGGCTTCCGGCCAGGGGGAGCCCAAACTGAGTAACAGGCAGGGTGGAGGGGAAGGTAATACCGAGCGAAGCCTCAGATCTCGGGATCGCCCCGCTTCGAAGCCCCTCCCCCTGAGCGTGGGGCAGCCGTGCACTCCGGTGGGGGGGGCGCTTGGGTCCCCCCCACCCCTCTTCCCTAGCTCCTCCCCACTCCCGGTCCACTCCTGGCCTCATACCCCTGCACCTGGCTTCCATCATGACGGTGATGTCTGGGGAGAACGTGGACGAGGCCTCGGCCGCCCCGGGCCACACGCAGGAGGGCAGCTACCCGCGGCCCGCCGACCACGAGGACCACGAATGCTGCGAACGCGTGGTGATCAACATCTCGGGGCTGCGCTTCGAGACCCAGCTCAAGACCCTGGCGCAGTTCCCCAACACGCTGCTGGGCAACCCAAAGAAACGCATGCGCTACTTCGACCCCCTGAGGAACGAGTACTTCTTCGACCGCAACCGGCCCAGCTTCGACGCCATCCTCTACTACTACCAGTCGGGGGGCCGGCTGCGAAGGCCCGTCAACGTGCCCCTGGACATGTTCTCCGAGGAGATCAAATTTTATGAGCTGGGGGAGGAGGCCATGGAGAAGTTCCGGGAGGACGAGGGCTTCATCAAAGAAGAGGAGCGCCCCCTGCCCGAGAAGGAGTATCAGCGCCAGGTGTGGCTGCTTTTCGAGTACCCCGAGAGCTCGGGACCCGCCAGGGTCATCGCCATCGTCTCGGTCATGGTCATTCTCATCTCCATCGTCATCTTTTGCCTGGAGACGCTCCCCGAGCTGAAAGATGACAAGGACTTCACGGGCACCCTCCACCGGATTGATAACACCACGGTCATCTACACCTCCAACATCTTCACCGATCCCTTCTTCATCGTGGAGACCCTGTGCATCATCTGGTTCTCCTTCGAGCTGGTGGTGCGCTTCTTCGCCTGCCCCAGCAAGACAGACTTCTTCAAAAACATCATGAACTTCATCGACATCGTGGCCATCATCCCCTACTTCATCACCCTGGGCACTGAGATAGCAGAGCAGGAAGGGAACCAGAAGGGTGAGCAGGCCACCTCGCTGGCCATCCTCAGGGTCATCCGTTTGGTCAGGGTTTTTAGAATCTTCAAACTCTCCCGCCACTCCAAGGGCCTCCAAATCCTGGGCCAGACCCTCAAAGCTAGCATGAGGGAGTTAGGGCTGCTCATTTTCTTCCTCTTCATCGGGGTCATACTATTTTCTAGCGCAGTGTACTTTGCCGAGGCGGAAGAAGCTGAGTCGCACTTCTCCAGTATCCCCGATGCTTTCTGGTGGGCGGTGGTGTCCATGACCACTGTGGGATATGGTGACATGTACCCTGTGACAATTGGAGGCAAGATCGTGGGCTCCTTGTGCGCCATTGCCGGTGTGCTGACAATTGCCCTGCCTGTACCTGTCATTGTGTCCAATTTCAACTATTTCTACCACCGAGAAACTGAGGGGGAAGAGCAGGCCCAGTTGCTCCACGTTAGCTCCCCTAATTTAGCTTCTGACAGTGACCTCAGCCGACGCAGTTCCTCCACTATCAGCAAATCTGAGTACATGGAGATCGAAGAGGATATGAATAATAGCATAGCCCACTATAGACAGGCCAATATCAGAACTGGCAATTGCACCACAGCTAACCAAAACTGTGTTAATAAGAGCAAGCTACTGACCGATGTGTAAAAAGCAAGCCAGCAAGACAGGCCCATCTAGCAGTGGGAAAGACTTCAAAAATTAAACAGAACCCCAGTGACCCTGGTCACACTTTGTAAATACTAAATAGGCTTGGAATGCTCTATTGAACTGTCAATGCATTGTTGCATTGCCCATTTTGTGGGTGGCAAAGCAGAAGCTTTCAAGATACGTGAAAAGAGGAACTATTTTTGTTTTAATATAAAAGGGGAAAAGAAAGTGTATTTTCTAAACCTGATTAAAAACAAAATTCAGTTGATGAGCTAGTCTAGGTAAAATAAGATTCCTATGTGTCCCTATACTGAAACCTTTTTAATCCCGGGCTTCTTTAACTTTTTTTTTTTCTTTTAACTAAAAGTCAGATGATCACTTAGAAATATAAAATTAAAATTTGCATGGGACTTCAATTTAAAATCTTTACTAACTGCACAGAACATTTTAGACAGTGCATCTGATGTATTATATATGTCATGATATACCAGCCAAAAAGGGAAATGAACAGATGTTTCTATTTTGATCAATCAAATCTCAATATTAGCAGGTTGGAAAAAAAAACAAAAAACAAAAAACACCCAAATTACAAATTACGTAAGGCTGGTTCACAAAGCACCTTCCAAATCTGACACTGGTTTTGCTCTGTAGGGGTTTTCCCTCTACCCCCAAGACCCTTCTAATCCAAATTCTTCTCTAAGGAAAAGATAAGCAAATTAAGCTAATTGAGTCATCTGTAGTGCTGCTAAATTTCTCAACTGCAGATGAGCCAAACACAGGTCTTTTCTTACCTGCCCTGCACCCTGACTCCTGGCCTCCAGAACTGGATGTAAAACTTTAGCCTCCTTTATTGCAAGTGAGCAAAAATGGAGTTAAATGTAAGCATGTTTGAATCTGATATTTATTTTATAATCGCATGCTGAGAACGTTAACTCAGACAATAGGGGATAAGCTTACTTTGGAATTGACTCTTCTAAAAATAGATCCTTTTCATTTGCATTCACCAAAAGTGCACTCCTTCATTTATTAACTATTTTATTAGTAAATAAAGTACTGTATTTAAGTGCATATGTTAGTCAGATGGGAAAAAAATAACCTTTTGGAGCTCAAAGCATGTTCTCTTATTCAGCATTATGGCCTATTTGATTAAGGTGTACCTTGAATTAATTAATGCATGATTTCAGAAAAAAAAGAATTTAAAAAGAATAAAAATTACAAGTTTGTGGGATGATAAGCCCAAAAGAAATAATGGGGGGGTGGGGGTGGGGGGCACTCAGTCAATTTTCCTGCCTTTGCTCAGGGAAATGTCAGGTTTACTGTGCAGGTGTAGTAGAGAAAGGACCACTATGCCCATCCCTTAAAGGGAAGCTTTACGGAAAACTAAGTAAGTCATCAAGGTATATATAGTAACTAACACCTAAGAACAAGTATTCTTTTTAGCTGAAGATAAACACAAGCAAAACAAACACACAAACAAACAAACAAAAAAAAAGGTGCAATACTGCATGTTTATTGGTGCATTCTTAGGATGTTAATGAAATTGTTTATCTATTGTATGCATCCAAAGCAGAGCTGATTTCTTTTTGCAGTCATGATTTGAGGTCTGTAGAGACTTCGGCCCTCCCCCTTGAGGCTCCCTGAAGAAACTCAACCAATTGATTTAATAGTTGCTTAGTGCCTTTATCCTGTACCCACAGCGAGCTGCAGAAAGTGCCTCCATTAACACAGCTGAGAAGTTATGTAATAAAAGAGAGGAAGGGTTGGGGCACAGATACTTTGCTTTTCCTTTTCCACCCTCCCCCCGTCTCGCTTCACCCTGTGAGATCACACCTTCCCAAAGCCAGGAGAGAGCAAAGCCCCAGGAAGGTGCTGTCTTTCCAGCTTCCACCAGACTCGGTCCCTTTGCAGGATGTAACCAGGGGCCCTGAGACCCATCTTCAATGTGGACACGAACTGTGAACTTGGTCTTATCCTCTCCTCCACCAGAAGCCAAGATAAACTTTTGGGGGAATTTGTTTCCTCTCCAGGGCCACTCCAGACTTCAGGGCTTCCTCAGGTCCAGTGAGGGGGTCCTGCCATGTTCCCTTGTTCCTCCTCTGCTAACAGCAGCGCTTTGCAAATCTTGGATCTTTACGACCATCATCATGGACATGAGAACACCCAGATCAGAGGCTATCCTAGGCCCTCCCTCCTGGCCCACTTCTTCAGATCTTCCTGGAAGCTCTTATAAACTTCCCACCCAGAGGTCATTTGACAGGCTGAGCATCTAACTGCTGTCGCCCTTCCTTTCCTGTGACCAGTCTGGAGAACAGCGGGGACCCTGGGCTAGGTTGAAAGAGAGCCCCATAATATGGACATTTGGGGCAAGCAGCTGTCCACCAGTAGAGAGGCACTCACAGCCTTTTTGAGGACACCAAGGCGGTGACCTTCATTCTGCACTGAGCATGCGGCCACCTGCTGCTGACCATCTTCCATTCCTGCCTTGCTTCTTCTGGAAATCTGTTACTCCCATCCCTTCTTCCACCCCCTCCTAGCACTCACAGTGAGGCAATAAACCAAGAAACTCGAATTATACCCAGGCTGGCTTGACTCCCAATTGCAAGAAAGAACATGGCTATTTTCTCCACCTGTGTGGCTTCTGTGACTCTGTAAGATGAATTGTAACACATTGTGGAAGGTGAAGGTCACGGTTTGCACAGCATTCGACCACAGGTCATTCAACCTCCCCTGCGACGTTTCCTTCTCCTTTGAACTTTGACTCATCCTGGTTATTCCTCTCCTCCCTGCTTAAAAGTCCCCACTTGGGAAAAAATACCAACCTCCCCCAAATCTCTAGGAATGTTTGGTCTTTTATTTAGACTCTGAGGTCTAGGACACACAGAACTTGAAACGCTGCGCTCTGTCAACAGCAATAATCCACTTGGTACTGTGGGATGGATGGGTCAGAGGATGAGAAAATGGGACCAAGACTGAGCAGACTGACTCTGGCTAACTGGTATACCTCTCATAACATCAAGCAGGGCGGGCTGGATTCTTCTGCATGTGTTACAGGAAAAAATGCTGCATGCAGGGAGCCTGTCAGCCTGGCACTGGGGATGAGTTGTTGTTATGGATTTGGGTGGTATGGGGAAAATGAATGCTGCTTAGCCATCTGAGCTCATTGCAACCAAGAATGGAGTACAGGACTACCCATGTAGCATAGGCATGCAGAGCTTGACGAAGTTCCTACCCTTGCACTGCAATGTGCTGAAATGTTTTTGTAGACCTGAAGGTGCACTTAACAAAACTGCCTATTAAGGAATGACTATCTTTTGGTTGACTTACATTTCTTTTATTGGGCTTTTCACCTTCCATCCCCTTCTGGGCCTTGAGCTCTCATGGCTCCTGTCCTGTCCTTAATACTTGTTTTCTCCAGAAGGAGAAGACTTTTGACATGCTGATAGCCATAACTCAACTCTTCCATGTGTTGGGGCCCTAGTTCAATAGGGTGACAGTGGGAGGGTTGGGTCACACCAGGGCTGTTAGCCATCCCAGAATCTCTGAAGTGGTTAACTCACCTCAAGTAATCTGAATTAGAGAGACCAAAGACATTCATTTCCTCTGTCCTCAGATTTCTAGAAGACAGATTGCAGCCAGGAAAGATTTTGTTTTTGTATCTCCTCATCCCCATCTGTGCACAGCCCTCCCTTGCTCCCCTTGAGAGTTGAGTTCTGAGCATCAGTTCAAACAGTTTTTTGGGAGCATGTTAGTGTGTTAGCCTAGCACAGTCAAATAAACTGGTAGCAAATTGTTCCCCTGGAATTTGTCTGGTGGACAGTCATTTCTCTAACAGGAAAGGATGTGGTAGGTTTTGACTCCACGCTGGTGGAACCAAAGCACAAGTGATGGTATAAGACTTGACTCATTTGAGAATTAAAAATGATACATGTTAACGGTGAGGAAGGATTCCTTGAAGTAGAAATTGGGTTTAGTTCATCAAGAGCCTTCTTCACACGTGTGTAGGTGCAGACTTTTCAAATTAGTTAACATCTGAAGAGTCAGGAAAAATTGCTTTTTAATTTAATAAAGGAGACCTCAAAACACTTTTTTTTTTTAAAAAAAAATCTTACAATTGAGTTCTTTTGTTGGTAGATTGGATTGAACAAAAAGGAAAAAAAAAAAAAAGAATATCAGCAGAAGGCAATTCCCCATTTTCTTCCAGGAACGACTTATTCCTGGGAGTGGTGAGAATTGGTGGGTGGTAACCATCCATAGTATAAAATTGTTAGAAAGAATATAAACTCTTAAGCAGTTGTTTCATCTTCTTTCTTTCTCAAGAAAGGATGAAATGTTTTGATGTGTGCATTCATTTCAAGACGACAAATCAACTAAAATTCTCAACCCAACATAGCCCAACTTGATTATGACCTCAGGAGGTGGTTTCTCATCTACTGTATTCATCTTTGTAATTCTATCGTGGAATTTCAGGGTATATGCGAACATGTCCAGCATGACTCAGGTAAACCTTAGAAGAATGTACATTACTTATCATTTTTGTAACAAAGCAAAAAGAGGCTGAGTTGTTAACTAAAAACCATTCCATTACCTTGGTCACTGTGTGAACTGATTCAGGGTATAGGCATTCAATTTAGAAGTGTTGATAGATTGCCAGGCACCTCTCTGGCGAAAAGACCATGGGCTTCCCTCGGAAGTCTAGTGTATAAGTAGGGAGGGGACCCATGCTGAGCTCAGGACTCTTAAGCTTTAAGGAGATTAGTGCTAGCCACAGTGATTATCATTTAGGAGCTCACTAGGAGTTGACTTTTTATGACAAGAGATTTCCAAGAGTATAGAAAAGTTTTGTACTGTAATCAGAGGAAGAAATGGCATAAGACAGCAAAACAAAACAAAACATGAACTCTTTGCAAAATATTCCAAGTCCAAAGTTATCTCTTCTCCGAAAACTGTAGAAGCGCCTTTCTTCTGTACAGTGCACTATTTTGGAAACATTTCTGCAGCCGCTGTAAGTGGACAGCCAGAACTTTCTATGACATACCTCGAATACGAAAGGCAAGATTACCAAGGTTCAACATAAAAATTGACTAGTATTAGTGTAAAGTGCACCATCAGGACAACAAACCATTGATGCTGAACAAGCACTGTTTCATTCCTTGAGTTTGCCAGTTGCTTCCATCTTGAGTTAAAGATGTCTCCTTTCACCCACCATGCATTCCCCTGCCCTTACTATTGAACTTGTCAGGTAGAGGACGTTGAATGTTAGGGATTGAGAACCTAATTGAAGCGCATAGTTTTCATCTATGCAATTTTACTTGCTTCTGTCACTTTATGATCTGTTCATATTTGGCATCAATTAAAGATAATTTTTAAGGATCTTACTAAGGAATATCTTGCCTGGTTATTTGTCTCTTGTTTAACTGATCTATTGGGAGCCTTTTCAGGGGAAGGGGAGAATTTCATTAAAAAATATGTGAATCCCAGATAAAATCTAGGAGCAATCTTGTTTTCTTGGAAACTCGTTAGCCAAATTTTTTTGTTTAAGGGGGAAAAAGAAAAACCCTGGAGTTAAACTTCTACAATATATTGACAGTCTGGGCTCAGGTGGGCTCCTCTGGAGAGGCCTTTGGAATTTGGTCTCTGAAAGCAGTGGAAATCAAGTTTTGCAAAGAAAAAAAGAAATGGGGCCCAAGGGGATAATTGTCTCTGTTCATTTAATTTAGTTCAAAACTGTATTTTTCATTCACAGTTTAAGCTTTTCAGGAAGGATAGTGTGTGTGTGTGTGTGTGTGTGTGTATGTGTGTGTGTAACAGTGCTGTGGTCTGGCACCAGATAACCTGATAGTTACAATATGATGTTAAAAGTGATTTTGATGTGGAAAATTAAAGTGATCCCTAGTGTTCTCCACATGGACATTCTCCACATAGTTCTACGTGTGGTTAACATTTCTCCATTTCTTTCTTTCTTTCTTTAATGACTTGGCTTTTCCTTTTGATTCTCCCTGAGATGTAGTTTCTTTTCTTCCTCGTAAATGCCATATTTTATAAAAATGTTTTCATATTAGAGCAAACTGGGTGTCCTGCTTTATAGGCGTCATGTCCAAAAGGCTTTGGGAGACCAGTGTTATCCGAGAAGTACACTGCCGTGGGGAAGATTCAATGGCCAGAATAGGAGAGGAATCTTGGTTTTGAGTAGAAGTTGTTACTGGAAGCAGATCACGAGGCAGGGCGGGCTGCCTGTCATTTTTCTGTCATGGTCAGAAAACAGGCCAGACTAAACTCTGACTCTGAGGGTAAGAAAGAACTAGAAACACCAGTGGAAGTGGGTCAACCAGCCAGGACTTTCATGACCTTGCTGATATTCATCCAAGCTCAGCCTGAGAATGGTCATTCTTGAATCAGAGGCAGAAAAAGCTAGGTAATAGCAGGAGTAGGGCTTGAACTGGAAGCTTTATTGTTTACACAGCTTCGAAAAGAAGTCAAGTCAGCTTTAAGCTAGGCCAGCCAGAGGTGCCAGGAATAGAGGGCGGCTGGGGTCCAATTTAAGGACCTCCAAAGGCTTATGTGTGGAGGGAAGGCTACTCCAGTGGCTGAGCACAGCATGCCTCAGGGAGAGGGCCTATGCGGACAAGCCAGCACAGTCACTCATGACTAGCAAGCATCTCTTGAACAAGCTGAACAATTGAAAATACCCCGTTTAATTAAGTGGGTCCAATATACCATTGATCTTAAGATATACTGTGATTCCACATACTCCTAAGTAAGACAGATCATTGAGAATCACGGCCCACCATTGCAAATATCCCAATTTTAGAGATGCAAAAATTAAAAAAAAAGAAAACATGAACAAAATACCAGAATTGTTGAGCTACAGTGGTTCAAAGGTGCACTTCGTTGCCGGATGTCATCAGAAGTTTGAATTCAAAACCCATTAAATTGGTCAGTTTCCTTCAGATCTGAACCCTGACTAGAACCTGTAGGTCTTCTTTCACTACCTTGTATGCAATGTTTTGCTCAACCCTGACCTAACACAAGCTGTGCGCTGATGTGTTTAGATGCTGCTTATCATCCAGAGGTCTTTAACCCAGTGAGGGCAGAACGATTATTTATGATGTCGGCGAGGAGCTTGAGTCTTTCATTCCTCCCTTCCTTGCTTCTTACTAGCACTCCCTCTGTTATCAAGAGTCTCAGAATCTCAGCAGCCCTCAGCTTTTATCAGGTTAAAGGCACATTGACACTCTTTCCCAGGGAGCTGCTAATAGCAACACCTCCAGTTTGTGGAGCTCTTTGCAGTTTTCAAATCACTTCCACATTAATTATATTGCTTTATTCTACTTGGTGAATTCGGTAAGGCTGGCACTCCTCTTCTGTCTCATGGATCAAGAGACCTATTCAGGGTTGCTGGATGCAGGAAGCAGACCTAGGTCTATTGTTGACTCCATGGCATGAGAGAAGGGAGATGCTCAAGTCACAGGCTCTGTGCAGTGGTGGGATTTGAAGACTTGGGGACCGAGCTGTTTTCAGTAGGTTCCCCCCATGCAACCAGCATGGCTGGCATACAGCAGGAACTCTGGGTATTTATTGAACTGATGGAAAGCCAGACAGCTGAATTTCGCAGGTTAAAGAGAAACCAATGGACTTTGAGGAGAACTCTGAGACTCCTTAACCTTCCAAGCACTCATTTCTAAAATGGAAATGTAATGGCAACAGGGATGTAGCAGTTAAATGGGATAAGGCGACTAACATGTTTGGTGAATTCTCATGTGCTTTCTGCCTAAGTGCAATAGTAATAGAAATGGTATTGATTATGATGATGACGTAGAAGCAGGGCTAGGAGGCCCCTTCTTTAAAGGAGAGACCCCCCTCTTTGAAGGAGGACTCCACTGGGAAGATGTTCATGTCACAGGCTGCCTACACAGACAATGGTGGGATTTGAAGACTTAGGGACAGAGATGCTTTTAGTAGGATTCCCCAAGGCAGCCAGCATTTAATGCCTGGCTCTCAGCAGCCCCACAGAAGATGGAGCCACTCTCTAGCTTTATTTCTACCTTGCCCTACTCCATAATCCTATTTTACATCTTCAGAATGCAATTGTCAAAGGCAAACTATGCCACAAAATAAGTTGCGGCACCAGAAAGTATCTGGTCATTTGCCTCACTCCTGACTCCTCAATCCCCCACTGTGCAAACTACTGTGCAATTTAACTTTCTTCTTCCCACCTGTGAATATTGAGAAATAAAGCAAGATGTTGTTTGTGAAATTTTCTCATATGCTTGTCTGATAGACATTATATAAATATAAAAACCTATTCTTAACTTTCCTGGCTAAAAATAAAATAACCCTCATAAGCATCCATGAGTCAACATATTCTTTTCTTGCCTAGCATACACTACTAAGGTGCTTGTGAAAATTATAAATTATAATATCTACACAGAAGTCCAGACATCTTTCCTTAGAAATTGTCTTTTTTTAAAAAAAGATTTATTTATTTGTACATACAGAACTGGGGTACAGGCCAGAGTTTCAGGGGTGGCGAGAGGCTTCACCAGAGACAGAGTGGGGAGCAGAACAGGCCAACTGACAAAGTACACTGCTGAGGGGAGTAGCGGGTGGGTCAGGAGAGGTCTGCTGCGCCTTATGGATTACATCCCTGGGCGGGGATCGAACTCACGCTGAAGCAGCTGTGGCTAGGTTGCAGTGCTGTGTCCAAACTCATTGTGCCACCAGGGAGGGTCCAGAAGTTGTCATTTAAACAGTATTATATATATATATATATTTTTTTTTAAATTCATTGTATTTAAGTAAGGAATTAAATATGTTAGAATCTTTGCTTCACAAAATGTTTTTCTAGAGAATAACAGTCAGAGGTTCAATAGTGTCCTCTAATGTATAGATGATCTTTTAAGGTAAATTTGATGTGGTGTGTTGATATGGTACTGTCTCAGCTACCATATTCTCAGTGTTTCCAGGGCTGGCTGTCAAGAGCATTTTTGGGAAGGCTTCCAGAGAAAATAACTGCAGTCGAAATTTTATTTTTTAGAATTGTAATGAGAAAATGATCATTCAGTCAGGGCTCAGCTTATTAGATTTTGGACTCAAAGTTAAATTCAAGTTTTATTAAAAATGCTTATTCCTCAATATATTGTGCTGAGAGTATTTGGAAATCTAAGATCACAACAAAGAGTGATTAGCTTAAGTGTTTTTTTTTTTAATTCCATACAAGATCATTATTTCATGGTTTGAGAAAGGAAGTAATATTGT